AAGGTCAGCTTTTCCCAAATACCAGTGTGGCTAGTTTGGGGATGTAGTACCCTTCATCTGGATCACTGTGGGCATCCCAGTCCAGGCAGCTGCATATGTCACAGAGGCTACTGTCTTGGAAAAGGCCACCCTTTCCCCCATTCCTACCCCAGTGAGCCTATAATTAGAGCTTTGGAGCTTTGTACCTAACCATGTCAGTCTGTTGCCAGAACTGTTCCGGATGCCATCAGGGAACTGCAAGGATGGAGCATAGAAGTAGATTCAGGCCTCGTGAACTGAGAACACATTGAAGCAGGGAAAGCAGTCTCATTTGACTCACTGTGGTTTGACTCCCTCACTTGCCCATATCTACTCTGTGCTATGTTGATAGAAGTTTCTCTCTCCCGCCTAGCCTTGAGGTCCAGACAAATCTCTCCCATCTGAGCTCTCATAGCTGCTTATAAAATAATTGTTCAGAGGCTTATATTAATTACAAACTGTTTGGTCTATGGCTCAGGCTTCTTGCTAGCTAGCTCTTACTTACAACTTAACCCATTCCTATTAAGCTATGTTTTGCCACGTGGCTTTGTGGCATTACCTGTTCTCTTACATCTTGCTTCTCCTGGCAGTGACTTGCAGCGTTTCCCTGACTCTGCCTTTCTTCTCTTTCTCTCTTGGATTTTCCCACCTGGCTCCATCCTGCCTTGCCATAGGCCAATGCAGCTTTATTTATTAACCAGTGGGAGCAACACATACTCACATTACAGTATACAGAAAGATATCCTACAGCAGTGCTATTAGAATTCATTTTCTGAGCCAGGTGGTGGTGGTGCATGCTTTTAATTCCAGGTAGGCAGATCTCAGTTTGAAGACAGCCTGGACTATATAGTGAGTCCCAGAACAGCCAGGGCTACATATAGAAACCTGTCTCAAGAAACCAAAAAGAAAAAAAAAAAAAGAGTTATTTTCTGGCTATAATACTAATTTGGAATTTCTTTCATTCACTGCCAAATATTGACTCCCTGCTGGTGCTCCATTCTAGGTACTGGGAATACAATGGACATAAGGTCCCTGCCCTAAGGTCTCTTTTCTGATAGGACAGATGTGGTTGTTGGAGGGTACTTTCCATATCTGACCCCATGTAGCTTCTGACATCAGACAGGATCAGAGTGGTAATGGTCCTAGGCCCTTGCTTTCTTTGATGTGGGCCTGCTGAGCTGTTTGATGGCAGAGAAAGGCTGGGTTTTGACACAAGAAGAGTTCTCTTTGAGGTGCTGCAGTGCTCCCACAACTGCAGCTGCATGTCTGCTGCACTTCCTGGTCACATGCTCAGAATCATACTACCTGGAGCTGGTTTGCACTAGCTCTTCAGCTGAACTCTACTGGTCATGGGCAGTACCATTCCAGCAGCAGGCCTCACTGCCCCCTTTAGAGTAAGGCTTCTGCTTTCTAACTGCTGCCATGTTCTTGCCTGAATCTTTATATGGACATTTATGTTTTCTTTTGGGTTAGTCTGTAGCTGTAGAGTTACTTACTGGCTTGGTATAACTTTAGAAGAAGCTGCTAGCTGTTTCCCAAAATTGTCATTCCACTTCCTGTCCCCACCAACGTTGTGTTCCCTCTCTGGTTGTCCCCCTCTTTTACCACCTTGTCATGTACTTGCATTCTGTTTGGCTTGAGCCATTCTGTCTCAGATAGCATGCACTTCCCAGCAACCAGCCCTGCTAAATAAACACTCTTATGCATAGCAGCCTATGTCTTAAAGTTTCTATTGCTGTGATAAAATACCAAAAACAACTTGGGAAGGAAAGAGTTTTATTTTCATCATACAGCTTGTAGTCTATTAATCCAGGGAAGTCAGGGAAGGAAATCAAGGCAAGAATCTGGAGGCAGGAACTGATGCAGAGGCCATGGAGGAGTGCTGCTTGCCAGTTTGTTCCCCATAGCTTGCTCAGTCTGCTTTCTTACACCATCCAGGACCTACCCAGGGTGGCACCACCCACAATGGTCTGAGTCCTCTCATATCAATTATCAATCAAGTAAATGTCCTACAGACTTGTCTACAGGCCAATTCTATAGAGGCATTTTCTGGATTAAGATTTCCCAGATGTCCCTAGTTTGTGCCAAGTTAACATAAAACTAACCAGAACACTGGACTTGTTGCCTTTATAATGTGTCTTGTTCAGCATTTAACTCTTCTTGAAAACAGGATTGTCTTTTCTTTAAATCACTGAGTTAAAGACTTCTGTACTTAGTGCAGATAAGAGTCTTTTGTTAGGTACATGCAACCTATAGTTACCTACTATGTTCATTTTTTTAAAAGATTGATTTATTTTTATTTTATGTGTATGTATGTTTTGCCTGCATGTATGTCTGTGTACCATGTGTGTGCCTGGTGCCAGTGGAGGCCAGAAGAGGGTATAAGATACTCTAAAAGTGAGTTTCAGGTAGTTTTGAGCTGCCATATGAATGCTGGGAATAGAACCCAGGTCCTGTGGATGAGCAACCAGTGCTCTTAACAACTGAGTTGTCTTTCCCTCCCCAAGTGTCTTAGTTAGGATTTTATTGCTATGAGGAGATACTATGACCATGGCAGCTCTTATAAAGGAAAACATTTAATTGGGGCTGGCTTGCAGTATCAGAGGTTTAGTCTATTATTGTCGTGGTGAGAAGCATGCAGCATGCAGGCAGAAGCACGTGGTGCTAGAGAAGGAGCTGAGAGCTCTACATCTTGATCTGTAGGCAGCAGAAGACAGCTGAGACACACTAGCTAGACTTGAGCTTCTTAGACCTCAAAACCCACCCTCGCAGTAACACACTTCCTCCAACAAGGTCACACCTGCTAATAGTGCCACTTCCTATGGGCCAAACATTCAAACACAGAGTCTGTGGGGGCCAATTCTATTCAAACCACCACACCAAGTCTGTTCATTTTTTACAAACATTAAAAAAAAAGTTTGTTTTTGTTGGTTGTTTTCTTTACTCTTTTGTTCTTAGATCTTTTGGGGACCTGCCACCCAGCTCCCAAATAAATACACACAGAGGCTTTTTTCCTACTTAAGAGTACCTGGCCTTAGCTTGGCTAGTTTCTTGCCAGCTTTTCTTAACTTAAATTATCTTGTCTATCTTTAGCCTCAGGGATTTATCTTTCTCTATTCCTGTATACCTTTTCTTTATTTCTTTGTGTCTGGCTGTGTAGCTGGTTGGCTGGGTGGCTGAGTGGCTGGCCCCTTAAGTCCTCCTTCTTCCTGTCTTGTTCCTTGATCTTTCTTCCTCTTCTCCCAGATTTCTCCTTCTATTTATCCTTTCTGCCTGCCAGCCCCACATGTCCTTTCTTCTGCCTCGCCATTGGCCATTCAGCTCTTTATTAAATCATCAGATGTTTTAGACAGGCACGGTAACACAGCTTCACAGAGTTCAACAAATACAACATAAAGGAATGCAATATTTCTTTGCATCACTAAACAAATGTTCCACAGCATAAACAAATGTAACACATCTTAAAATAATATTCTATGACAGTTTGTGTCTGTTTAAATGTTGGTGAGATTCTTTTTTTCTCCTTTTAATGTTGTTTGTATTTTGAAAAGCTTTGCCCGCTCTGAGCTTGGCAGAGATACTGCTAAGCTTTGTTTCTGTTTTGTTCTCTGATGCATCTGGCTGTGAGGTAGGGCTTACCACTGTTTCTTACCAACACATTCCTTTCTCCACTGAATGATTTCATACTTTTGTTTTGTCATAGTTCTCATTTTTCTGGGTCAGGAGAGAAGTGGTTGAGTCACATGGTAATTGTATGTTTAACTTTTTAGAATACATTCAAACGGTTTGCTAGACTAGTTGGCCATTTTGGATTCCCTCCAGTAAATGATTCAGGAATCTACTCACTCCATGTTAGCACTTTTTTTAGCCATTCTGACAGGTGCTGCTGTGGTCTGGATATGGTTTGAGTATGCCTCCCAAGAGCCTAGATGTTGATTTTAATTTCCACTGTGAGACATTCATCAGTGGAGACTGATTCTTACCATGGTGTTCAGAGGAAGGAGCTTCAGTGGGTGAGTAGGGTTAGAGAACTCTCTTAGGTTGGAACCCTAGGATACAGTTCTGCTGACCAAATAAGAGTAGAAGCCACACAGACATACTCTCCCCATCTCTTGTTGTGTGATGCTCTATGACGTCTTGGACTTCAGTTAGCAAAAAAGGCGGTTGATGTGAAGCTGGATAAAAGGTTAGGTGCACTAGCTGCTCTTCCAGAGAACTGGAGTTTGGTTCCCAGCACCTACATGGCAGCTCAAAACCATCTATAACTCCAGTTCCAGGGGATCCTATGCCCTCTTCTGTCCCCCTTGGGTACCAAATACACATGTAGTACAGATAAACCCCCCCCCCCCCAAAAAAAAGGAATAAAAATAAAAAGGAACATTTTAGGTTTTCTATTTTTAGGCAATTGCCAAGTGGGGATTTCTGAACTTCAGAACTGTAAACTAAACAAGCCCTCTTTTTAAGATTACCTAGTTTCCAGGCTGACCAACCCTGCAACTACCCAGGCGCAGAACCGGGGTTTAAGTGTTGGCCCATCCCAGCATCCATTTTGTCTGTGATCTGCTGGAGCATAGGTGTGTGTGGGGGAGTGTTGTCCTGTGGACCCAGGACTATAGGATCTCCACGACACAGGACAGCAATAGGATGTCCAGGAAGAGTCCCAGTTAGGGCCCAGTGTCAACAGTGTAGCAGAGACCAGGTACTCGAATCAAACCAACAATTCTTTGCGATGAATGCCTGTATGTAAAGATGTATGGATGAAGGGGTTTACTGTGTGACTCACTGTGTCACACTACAGCTTCCATATGATGAGATTTTCCCTTTCTTCCTTTTTTTCCTTTTTTATCTTAAATTTTATTTTGTTTTGGTTTTGGGGGTGAGGTTGCAGGGCAGAGGGCGAATGCAAGGGACGGGAGATGGGTGGGATTGAGATGCATGATGTGAAAGACACAAAGAATAAAAAAGAAAGTTTAAAAAAAAGATTACCCAGCTTCAGGTTATTTTTAATGGTAAAACGGGCCTGGCGTTGGTGACACACGCCTTTAATCCCAACACTCAAGGCAGAGGCAGGCAGATCTCTGTGAGTTTGAGGCCAGCCTGGACTACAGAGTGAGATCCAGGACAGGCACTGAAACTACACAGAGAAACCCTCTCTCAACAAAACAAAAACAAATAGTAAGACAGAATAAAGTGATGCAGATTGCCAGAAGCCATACTGGATGCCATCTCTTCCATCATTGGTACCAGGCTCACCATCAGGCCCTGGTGCTATCTCCAAAGCATATTGAGCAAGTGCTTTTTTCCACCCCACATCCTTCAATGTTTGCAGAAGCTGCTAGCCCAGATTTCTTGTTCCATCCCCATTAGTACATTCCACCAGAGAACCAGAGAAACCTGTGAGGAACATAAATTGGATCATGCCACTGCCCGGAGTAAATCTTTTGATGCTTTTCTGTGCTGATCCCCACCCAGGACTTTGGGCCCTGTGCCATTTGTCCAACCTCTTTCCATGTCTCCACCAGTACACACTACTGATGCCCCTTTTGGGTTCTGGCTCTCTGTCTGTTCTTTAGCTAGCTGGTTGGCTTGCCCTGCCTTCTCAGTGTCACTAGGGTCTCATTTCACAGTGTAACAGTTTGACTTACATGTTTATGTGTTCTTGTTCATTTGGATGCTGTTTTTAAATTCTAAAAATTGACACATAACCTGCTTGTGGGATTCAGTTACTCACTATGGCTGGCATCTGAGTCTGTTTGCACTGGCTTTCTTTCCTGGTCATGGTTTGTTTTTCTGCTTCTTTACATATCTAGCACTTTTTAAATACTACTCCCAGGAAGTATATTTATTATTCAAAAGCTCAGCTTGTAACCAGGCTGCCCTCCAGGAGATAGGACCAAGCTTCTCAGCCATCACCTATTCACTTGTAGGTGAACAAAGCCTCTTCCTTACTGAGAGAGGCTCTGTGAAGTGGAGACCTTGCAGGCAACCCAGCCAGGACAGCCAGGGCTCCTGGCTCAAAGACAAGTCATGTGGGGACCCTTGGTGGGAGGTTAAGAGAGGACCGTCTTTCTTCCTCATCCCACAGGCTCTGTCTAACTCTGGGGAAAATAAAACACCCAAGCCTGGCCTATGTGGAGAAGTTCTGCAGTGCCCATCTCTTGATTGGCAGGAACATGGGAGCTTGACTGGCACCCAAACCATAGTGGATCTGGTGGAGCAGAACCTCCCTATCAGTCCATATTGACTACTCTGACACTCCAGTGGAGTCCAAGATGAGATAAGGTGGTAGTACCATTCCCAGGTATTTGATTTTTAAGGCTTGGCAGTCTCCTATGTACAGAACAGCCACAAAGAAGACCTTGGCTACACAATTTGGTTGCCTGTGATATGTTCCAGATATTTCTGATGCCATAGTGGCAATAGTCCTGACTGGCAGGCCTTAGCAGCCCTGTCCAGAACCAGCTTTGTGCCCCCTAGATTCTCCAGAAGCCTGTTGATCCTTTTCAAAAAACTTGTCTGAAACTCACCTGCAGAGTAGCAGCAGTTGTGCCTGTTCTGGAGGGAACCTTATGGCCTGTTGATCCCTGTCCTGAGTGTGCTTGCTGGAGAAGCCTTGCCTGCCTGCTGGTTTCCAGGCTTCACTCATCAGGGCTGTATTCAGCCCTAGGCCTAGATGCAAGGGAGGGCCTCCAGGTGTGACTTGGGTCTCTCTGACAGGCCCTTCTCACTGCTGAGTCTGCCCCTGTCTCCTCCCTTTTGGCTTTGCTGATCCTACCCTGCCTAGCCAGCTCTTCACCACTTTGAAAAGGCTGTTCAGGCACTCCCCTATTTCGCCAGCCTGGGCGGCCCTTTCTGTGTAAAGGGAGCAGCTGTTTGTCTCTACCGTGGTCCTCATTGGCCTAGAGCAAGGGCGGAGGGCACTTCCGAGGGAGGGAGCCCAGAGCTGCATTGCCTGGCCTCCACTTTCCCTCACCAGCTCTGCACTCCCCACATCATGTTTGGAGAGCACTGCAGTCTCCCTTCAGAGCAAACTCTGCTCAGCCACCCCCCAAAAACTGGACTCCGCTGCAAAATGGTGCTTCAGGCAGTCAGCAAAGTGCTCAGGTAACAGTCGTCCCGAAGCAGTCTAACTGGGAGGCAGTTAGCTGTGGCCCTGATTGCCTTCTCAGCAAAGCAGCCTGCTGTGCAGAGCCTGCAATGGGGTGGGTGTGCTGTCCCTGGGCCTGATGCTGGGGTAGTTGACATAGCCTGGCCAGCCTAACAATTGAGTTTACTGCATGTTGCCCAGGAGCAGCCATCTGCATTAGACCTTTGCTATGTGTGGCTTTCCTTGATGTTAGACAGAAGTCCTACCTTGCTCCCTTTGGAGAGTGCTGGACAGTAAGTGACCTTTATCACAACAAGTGTGTCTGCCTGGGCTTATGTTTTGGCCAGTGGCTGTCTCTTGAGCATGGGCCTTGGCTAACCAAGGCAAGGATTTCCTGGAACCTGTCCTTGAGTGTCCAGAGAAGTGACATGGTGTATACCCCAGGTGCCTGCTGTATGTTAGCTGCTACTTGGTATTGCCAGGCAAGCTTTTCAGACTTTTCTAACCTGTAGTGGTGCTCTTACCCCAAGCCTGGGGTGTGTGTGTGTGTGTGTGGAATGCAAGTGGATGGGTGAGAGGGTGTGTGCATGACTTGTTGATGGGGTGGCAGTGTCAAGGCAACTTGAGGCTGGATTCCTCAGCCTCGCGGGAAGAGGCTCTGCCTTTTAGAGTCCAGTCAGTTTTCCTTCAGTGCAGGAATCTTGTGTTTGCCTCCTAACTCAGTGAGTCAGTCTGCCTTTCTCTCTCTCTCTCTCTCTCTCTCTCTCTCTCTCTCTCTCTCTCTCTCTCTGTCTGTCTCTCTCTCTCTCTCTGTCTCTCTCTTCCTCTTCGTCCTTCCATCCTTCCGTCCTTCCTTTCTTTGAGACAAGGTCTCAATATGTAGCCTTGGCTATCTTGAAACTCACTATGTAAGACTGGCTGGCTTTGAACTCACAGAGATCTGCCTGCCCCTGCCTGCTGAGTCCTGGGATTAAAGCTGTGTGCTGCCATGCCCAGTAGGGCTGTTATTATTTAAAATGAAAGCAAATAGCATTTACTTTTCCAGTACTTCTTTTAACTGTGAACTCCCAAAACAGAACTCTTGGTGAGGCTTTTGACATGAGTCCAGCCTATGGTAGCTCCTTGCAAGTGGCTGATGAGTTTTGGGATGCATGTGTGTGTGTGCACCAGCCTGTCCCTTGTCACCTCTGACCTTACCTATTCCCCTGGGCCATTGCCACTACATCATTACCTGAGTGCCTGAATAGGGAATGTCAGCAAAGTGGTGGCATCATCTGCCCTGATTTAGAATGTTATTGATGATGATAGTAAGTAGAGGGCCACACACATGTTAATGTGTGTGTTTCTGCATGTGTGTGGATAGCAAATACCATCCTCAGCTCCAGGAAGGTTAAAGAATGGCACTCACCTGCCAATGAATCCTGGCTGTCTATACTGGGGAAGTTCCCATTGGGAGACATCTTAGCCTGGCCTTCTTGAGGATTACATTGAGTTCAGTAGGATAAGTGGGTACTGTCTAGGCATACCTCAGGCCTGATGTGTCTGTCTCTCTACTGCCTTGTTCTCCAGGTGAGTGGGTCTTTTACTGGGTCAAGGACACTGGTGAAAGTGTGCTGTGTCTGGGACTACTAACCTTTCTAGATAGGGAGCACAGTTACTCTTAAGAGAGAGCTCCAGTGACCCTCTCTACTGCTTCTGACCCCACCCCAACCTGTATAGTGAGGGCTGGGAGGGTCTTCCCATTTTGGTCTCTGAAGCCAAGCATTGGGCAGTGGAGTTAGTGAGGAGTTGGTCCAGATATGGGCTTCCCAGTATTAGAAATGAAATTTTTAGGCCCCACAGAGATCTAGGTCTAGATAGATGCTTCAGAAGAGATGGCAACCAGGGGTGAGTGTCTTCCCTATACTCACAGTCCAGTGGTAGGGTACCAGCTGTTGAGGGGCTGGGGAGAACCTGGGAGTATTTGGCTGGGCTGTGAAGGCCATTCTAGCTTGTACCTTGTTGTCACAGAGGCCCTACAGTGATGAGAAAAGATATCATTATAAGCTTGGAGTTAGTGCTTTGCGTAGACTGTAGCTTGGACATTTGCCATGACCAGGAGTGTGGGAGTCCCCAGTCATACCACTCTCCTTTTAGCATCTAGTTGTACTCTGCCTAAATAATAGTGTTTCTCAGACCTGGCCAGGGAAGGGCTTGTATCTTCAAACTCCTCATGCCCTGCCCCTTGCCATACCCTCCTCCAGTGCTATCCCCCAGCCCCTCAGTGTCAGCATCTCCTTCCTTAATGTTGACCACAGGCCTCTAGATGTTAACTTCTGGTCCCTCATTGCTAATCCCCACTCTGTCCAGCCCCTCAATGTTAACCCAGCTGGGACTGGTCAGGTGGCAGGGTGGAAAGCAAACACATTCTGTTTCTCTAGAGGCCTGGCATATCCACACTCAATATTTTTCACTTCCTTGGAGTGATGTACTTTGCCACAAGACTCTTGTATCCCCTCCCTACCATCCTCAGACCTTAGTGTTTTTAAGCCCTTCATCCTCTTGACTTTCTGTGTATGCCTCCCCCAAGTCTGAGCATCCTTTTCTTGGAGCACTTTGCTTTGTGAGCATCTGTGTTGGGTCAGAGGTTGGGGAAACCCGGGTGGCATGCCAAATGGAGGCTTGTGGGGAGGATGCAGGCTAATAAGCCTCAGTTCAGGGCAAGAGCACATGCCAACATAGCATCTTACCATCCTGGTCCCAGAAAGATGCTGCTAGCCTGGCTCCCACAGAACACTCAGCCACCCCAGCCTAATGCTTGGCACCACAGATGTCACAGAGATTGATTTTTTTTTTAAATCTGTAAATTTCTATTACTCCTCAGAGGTCAGACTGTCAACCAGGATTGACTCATTCCTGGTGCTGGGGGTGCCAAAGAGTCCAGTGTCATGGGGTGTGGCCAGCTAGAATAAAAGATAATGACATTTGGAGGACCAGGGGAAGTTTGCCATGTGGTCAGGGGGTAGACAGAGCACTATGGGCAGCGGAAGTGCTGGAGCAAGGAGGAGGCGGCTAAGGCCAGATGATTATGTGGGAGGCAAGAAGAAGGTGATTCTGATAGAGCATGGATACCTCTAAAGTAGTCAGTTTACTTTATGAGTAGGCCCCCTGCTCATTAGGGGCCAACCTCAGCCTCACTGTTGGTGGTTTTGTTTTGGGGATGCCTTCCCAGGAGCTCATAGCAGCTCTGTGGATATGGTGGTGCCTGGACTCCCTAGTCCCTATAATACAGTCTCTGTGCTGCCCACTGAAGGCCTTGTCTGCATAGTCTTCCCTCCACATGAGTAACAGTGGCAAGTGGTATAAGGGAAGCAGGAAGAGCCTCTGACCTCAAGCCTAGTATGCAGGCATGGCCAGCCACTGACATCATGGTCTCTTCAGCTTGCCCCAGAGCCCATAAGATGTTTGTTTGCTCATCTTACTAGGTGAAAACAGAAACACTGGCAAAGGAGCTAGAACTGGTCCTCTAGATGAGTCTCGTGCCCTGGCTAAGCCCCACTCATTTAGGGAAAGGAGAGAAGTTGGAGTTTGAAGTCCTACAGAGGCCCTTCCACTAGCATCTACCACATTCTTCCTCAGGCAGAACCCTGGCCCTGGGCTGCCTCTTGTTCCTTTTGCCAGAGTGAGGGCCCTGTGACTAGGACTGGAAAACTTAGGTTGGCAGGAGGGTGTCCCAGAGTGCACTATGCTCTGGGGCCCAGGTTGGCCCTTTGTGATGGGGACAGCAACTAAATGGGGATATGACTGAAATAGGGAAGGCTTGGGGCCTGGTGTACACATGCTGGTGTCTAGCATGGCATCTATTTGCTGCCTTTTGACTTCACCATAAGCCCCTGGGACCCATTACAGAGTGAGGCAGGCCTTTCAGGAACCTTTTCCCCATCAGGTTTGGGCAGTAGCTTCTGCCTGAAGGAACTATCCCCTCCCTTGTGACTATGAGTGGGAGTGAGGACAGGATGCTGTTCATAGGATACCCTCCCTGAATGGGTCCTGAACAGTGGGTGTTCAGGAGCCATGGTGGTGGCTGGTTCCTACCAGCAGCTCTTCCTAGTTGTCCTGTTTTCATTCCTTTTAGCTTGCAGGTGATCATCTCAAGCCACAAAGCATGGAAATTGTTTGACAGCTTGGCCCTCACCAGCCCCTTTCTTTGTAGTCTTGGCTTTCAGGACAGGATACCCAGAAGACAGAAGGTAGCTTGATAGTCTTGAGGAAAACCTATCCTTTGAGGACACTACTGGCCTGATCCAGGATTAGCGAAGCAGACCTCTGCTTTCTGACTGAATAACAGGTGAACCCAGCCCATATCACTAGTGGAAGATGAGGGTTCAGAGAAGTGCCCAGGACAGGGAGTGGATGTGTCCCAAAGACATGGGCAGAGCCCCTCCTGGGGTTTGTCCACAACTGCTAGAGAGTCTGGAGCCTACACTGCTGGTCTGCAAGGCTCAGAAGCCCATGCCAGAGAGGCTTGAAGTGCCCACTTTCTATTCGGTACATCCACACCTATGTTTCAGCCCTAACAGACTTCCATGCTATTTTCCTTAGAGCTTGTGCTGTGCCAGAAGCCTCAAGGCTGGGCTGTGCCCTGCCCTGTCCACTGCTTGGTTCTGGCTG